GGGGGCTGTCCCAGGGCTTTGGGAAGGGGCTGTTGGTGTCCCCTGGCTCATTTGAGGGAGGATTTTGGGGCACCTCGCAGGTGGAACATTGCCAAGCACCTGTGTTGCTCTCCATGAGCACAATGTGAATTATTTTAGTTGTGAAATCCTTTATCAATGCATGGGTCAGGCCCTTAAATATCTTTTAAGGAAAATCCCTGTGGTGTCCTGGGGTGCACCAGGGGGCTGGGGGCTGTCCCAGAGCTTTGGGAAGGGGCTGTCCCTGCTGTTTGTGTCCCCTTGTGGAAATGCATAAAATCAGAAAGTTTTGGGAAAGCTGCAGAAGGCAGGCCTCAGAGACAGCAGAACTGTCTCTCACACAGTTTAGAGCTAAGCAGTAGCCATAAGTCAGCAGAAAAATGATGTAAAATGTAGAAAAGCAAAGACAAATAGAACAATGGTCTGTGTATTAACACTTGTCTGGAATAACTCCCTAAATACAGAAAAGTTTATCTGGCAAGATATTAGGAAGTTGTTAAGCTTAATAATGAAGCTCTGTGCCTTGTGTTTTAAGGCTTGGTAGGTATTGTATTCAAAATAAGCAAGCATTGACTCATTTGAGGGAGGTTTTTGGGCACCTTGCAGGTGGAACATTGCCAAGCACCTGTGCTGCTGTGTGTGAGCAGAATGAGAATTATTTTAGCTGTAAAATCCTATATCAATACATGAGCCAGGCCCTTAGGTATCTTTTAAGGAAAATCCTTGTGGTGCCCAGGGATGTGCCAGGGTCATGCAGGTGGCAGGGGGCTGTCCCAGGGCTTTGGGAAGGGGCTGTTGGTGTCCCCTGACTCATTTGAGGGAGATTTTTGGGACACCTTGCAGGTGAAACGTTGCCAAGCATAAGCACAATGAGAATTATTTTAGCTGTAAAATCTTATATAAACACATGGGTCAAGCCCAAAAATATCTTTTAAGGGGAATTGTTGTGGTGTGCTGGATGAATGGGTGACCTGTGTAGAAGAGTTTGAGGTGAAAGGCCAGGCTGGCAGTGACTGTGGCTGCCCTTGCAGGACACTGCCATCAGGTACATGACCGACGGGTGCCTGCTGAGGCACATCCTGGCTGACCCCCTGCT